TTTAATTTTGACCTGACTAGTTTTTATTTCTTTTATTTCTAAGTATGGGATTCTCTGTTGTCTTTTGCTTTTTTCAAGCCCAATTGGTATCTTTATAATTGTTTTAAATTTTAGTTCAGTCATCTTACTTATATCCATATTGATAAATCCCTGGCTGTGTGTACTACCTCCTGTTCTTTCTTTTGGAGTGAATTTTGTTAGCTCTTCATTTTGTCCAGAAAAGAATAGAAGAAAGAAAGAGAGAAAAGAACAACAATGAAAAGAAGGAAAAACAAACAAGAAACACCAAAACAAAACAAAGAACAAAAAAAATACCAAAAAACAAAGAAAAAACACAAAACTAAAAACTAGATCCTAGGTGTGTTTGGTCTGCTTGTTAAAGGAAATTGGATTGCAAAATAAGAAAGAAAAACATATATATGTATATATATATATATATATATATATATATATATATATATATATATATGGAAATAAGTAAAAATACGTATACATAACATATAAAAACTAAAAAAAGGATAAAGAATTCAAAGAATAAGAAAATAACTGAAAAATTAATACTGAAAGATTAAAGAAAAAAAAAAAGAATGCTATATACTGTTTTCCCCAAAAGATGAAGCTTTTCCGTCATCCTTGATCAGTAAACTTGCTGTGCGCCTGTTGTTCCTGCTAGTCTTCTGAGGGGAGGGGCATGTTGCATTGATTCTCAGGTGGACTTGTCCTATTGCAAATGTGCCTCCCTTGGGCAGAGGTAGGGTTCAGTGTCAATGGCTCTGGATTCCACTATGTGGTGCTGTTTTGCTCCCTGCAGGCTTTCAACATTGTGGGTGGGATGCATATAGAGGCCCTCCTCTCTCCGGGCCTCCCTCTTCAGCCCTCACAGAAAAGCAGTCAATCATTTTTGTCTCCTCTATTTTCATCAGAACTCTGTTCACCCGGCCTGTGACCAAGTGCTTTTTATCTCAGTCACATGACTTTCAAAACTCCAGATTTTACAGATTCCTGTGGTGTGGACTTGCTCCATTCCTTCTGGGGGATGGTGGGGGATCTCTCCATGCTTCTGCCTTTTGCTTGACCTGTTCCAGAAAAGAGGTCACACAGCCATGTGTTGGTTTGCAGTTCATGGCAACATAGAGCAGAAACCCAACACCTAGACTCACTGTACTCAGTGGGCTTCCCTGCTCCTATGCCTGTGAACTCTGCCACACTCAGGCCCCATCCATTCTTCCTGTGATCCCAGGGATCCTGATACCACACTATCACACCTGGGATTCCACCTGACTCACCACCTGAGCACCTTTAAGCCAGGGATGTACCCCACTGTACCGGACATCTAAAAGTTCCAATTTTTCACTCCACTTCTTATAATACTTTGCGGTAGCCTCCTTAAGCCAGCTCCCTCGCCCCCATCTTATCCTCAGATATATTACCCTGGATTCAGGTCTCCACACCTCCTACCTTTCAAAAAGTGGTCGCTTTTGTACTTGCAGAATTGCAGCATTTCTTTTCTCTGATCTCTGATTGATTTCTCAGGTGTTCAGTGATTTGAATACTATCTAGCTATATTCAAGGGACCAGACAAACTTAGGGTCCTCTACTCCTCTGCCATCTGAACTTCTCCTCCACTAGTGGTATTTTGATATGGATTGCATTAAATGTGTAGATTGCTTTGGGTAGTATAGACATTTTAACTATGTATGTTCTTCCAATCCATGAGCATTGAATGTTTTCCAATTTCTTTGTGTCCGCTTCTATTCATTTCATAAAGTTTTTATAGTTTTCAGAGTACAGATCTTTTACCTCAGTGGTTAGGTGTATTCCTAAGTATCTTCTTGTTTTTGGTACAATCTTAAATGGGATCAATTCCTTAATTTCTTTTTTTTCTGCCTCATTCTTGGAATATAGAAATGGAACAGATTTCTGTATTTTGATTTTATATCCTGTGACTCTGCTGAATTCATGTATTAGTTCTAGCAATTTTTTGGTGGAGTCTTTTGAGTTTTCTACATAGAGTATTATGTTGTCTACAAATAGTGAAAGTTTTACTTCTTCCTTGCCAATATGGATGCCTTTTCTTTCTTTTCTTTGTCTGATTGCTGAGGCTGACTTCCAGTACTGTCTTAAATAGTAACGGTGAGAGTGGACATCCCTGTCTTGTTCCTTACCGTAGAGGAAAAGTTCTCAGTTTTTCCCCATTGAGGATATTAGCCTGTGGGTCTTTCATATATGGCCTTTATGATGTTGAGGCATATTCCATCCATCTCTACTTTGTTGAGAGTTTTTATCAAGAATGGATACTGTATTTTGTCAGATGCTTTTTCTGCATCTATTGAGAGGATCATATGGTTCTTATCCTTTTATTAATGTGGTGTATCACATTGATTAAATTGTGAATATTGAAACAACTCCTGCAGCCCAGGGATAAATCCCATTTGATCGTGGTTTATGATTCTTTTAATGTACTGTTGGATTCAATTAGCTAGTATCTTTTTGAGAATTTTTGTATCCATGTTCATCAGGGATATTGGATTGTAATTATTCTTTTTAGTGAAGTCTTTGTGTGGTTTTGGAATTAAGGTAATGCTGAATGAGTTTGGAAATTTTCCTTCCATTCTATTTTTTTGGAACAGTTTGGGAAGAGTAGGTGTTAACTCTTCTTTAAATGTATGGTACAGTTCCCCTGGGAAGGCTTCTTTTTGGCCCTGTACTTTGTTTATTGGGAGATTTTTGATTACTGATTAAACTTCTTTGCTGGTTATGGTCAGATTTTCTATTTCTTCCTGTTTCAGTTTTGGTAGTTTGTATATGTCTAGGAATGCATCCGTTTCTTCTAGATTGCCCAGTTTGTTGGCATATAATTTTTTAATAATATTCTAATTGTATTTTTGTGGGTTGTGATCTCTCCTCTTTCATTCATGATTTTATCTATTTGGGTCCTTTCTCTTTTCTTTTTGATAAGTCTGGCTAGAGGTTTATCAATTTTATTAATTATTTCAAATAACCAGCTCTTATTTTCATTGATCTGTGCTACTGGGATTTTGTTTGTTTCTATATCTTTTCTCTGTTGCTTCTACCTATTTTTTTCCTTTAATTTTTTGGTAAACCCATTCATTCTTTAGTAGGATGTTCTTTAATCTCCATATATTTGTGGTCTTTCTAAATTTTTTCTTATGGTTGTCTTCTACTTTTTCTAGTCTACTCTTCGTTCTCTGTAGTGTATTTTTAATTTCAGTTACTGAGTTCTTCATCTCTTTCTTTTTAATGTTTTGTATCTCTTTGTTGAGGGCCTTACTGAGGTCTTCTCAAGTTCAGTGAGTATCTTTATGATTATTAGTTGAAATTCTCTATCAGGCATATCACATATCTCCCATTTCATTGAGGTCTTTTGCTGATATTTTATCCTGTACTTTCATTTCAGACATATTCCTCTGCTCTCTCATTTTGTCTAAGTCTCTGTGTCTGTTTCTATGCGTTAGGAAAATCAGCTATATCTCCTACTCTGGAAAGTAGTGCCCTTTGAAGAAGAGGTCCTGTAGTACAGTGTCCTCTGTTCACCAGAACCTGACACTTCACAGGTATTTCTTATGTGTGTTGCATGCACCCTACTGTTGTGGCTGAGCCATGTTTACATTCTGTCCATCATCTGCAATGGCTCTCTTTGCCTGTTGTGGTCATGGTTTGGTTGCTGTATTATTAGTGGGCCAGTCTGTGGCCACCTTGGGCTTGAGTTGCATCAGACCAGATGTTTTCCAGAGCTGCGGTAGCACCAAACTACAGGACACTCTCCCTATGTTGTTCCCTGAGAATCTTTAATCAGTAGGTGGGGCCTGCTCTCAGACCGGATTTCTGCCCCCAGCCCACTGCTGGGGCCCCAGTAGACTGATGTATGTGGTTTCCTTCCTCTCTCTGCTGGGCAGGAGTTACTTTGGATTGGTGCTGGTCCCTTTTGGGGTTGCTTGCACCACTGCCAGCTTGTGGCACAACTTTGAATGGAATGCTGCCAAGGACCTGTTGGAGGGGGCGGGTCACAGGAGATTGGGGTGCTGTTAACAAGCTACGTGGAGAATGTTCTCACTGTGCTGATTCCCACAGGTGTCCCTGCATATAGGCTGCAGGGATTGGGAGGGAAATGGTGCCCACCAACTCTTTTGTTCTTGGGAGAAGTTTCCCAAAGACACCTGCCCCTCTAGCACACACTCTTGAGGTTAGTAAATAAATTTCTTTCTTGTATATCTGAGGTGTTTTTCAGATTGCTTCTTCTGTGCTGTATCTCAGTGGGGTTGTTTGTTGCACTTTTCTTTTAAGCACGAGGACTCAGTTTCCCATTTCCCTCCCCAGAGCCGATCCTGCTGATTTTTAAAGTTGGTGTTAAGCACTGCTGGTTGTAAAAACTTGAGACATTAAGCCCTTCTGGTTGTCACAGTCAGATATTATGGAGATTCATCTTCCCAGTGCAGGTTCCCTGTACCTGGAGTGCCTGGTGTGGGGTTTGCTCCTCTTCTCTCTCCACTTGCATCGTCCCTCCTGGCCACGTCTCTGCCCTTCTTATCCTCTTCAGTGTGGCCTCTTCTAAAATTAGCTGTGGATAGGAGTCTATTCTGCTAGTCTTCTGGTTGCTTTCTGGGTTATTTACACTGATGTGGGTGTTATCAGGTGTATCTGTGGGACCATGTGAGCCTAGGATGCTCCTACTCCTCCATCTTCCCTGGAAGTACCCCCAGCTTTTTTTTTTTTTTTTCCAGTTTTTTGCCTAAGTGCTATGGCTACAGCCTCCTGTACAGTGTTAAGAAGAGTTGAAAGTGGATATCCTTGTTTGTTCTCAGTCTTTGGGGAAAGCATTTGGTCTTTATTAAGGATGATGTTAGCTGTGGGTTTTTGTAGAGGCTTTTTATCACAATTAGAAGCTCCTTTCTATTCCTAGTGATTATATTTGTCATGAAAAATTTGGGGGCGCCTGGGTGGCTCAGTCAGTTAAGCTTCTGCCTTCAGCTCAGGTCATAATCTCAGGGTCCTGGGATCCAGCCCTGTGTCGGACTCTCTGTTCAGTGGGGAGTCTGCTTCTCCCTCTCCCTCTGTGATCTCTCTAGCTTTTGCTCTCTCAAATAAATAAATAAATAATCTTAAAAAAAAAAAGTATGGATTTTGTCAATTATTTTCTTCCTATTGATGTCATTATGTGATTTTTGTTTTGTGTTTATTGATATGTTAAAAAATAGTTTTGCATTCCTAGGATAAATCTCAATTGGTCAAGGGGTATAATTCTTTTTATATATGTTACTGCATTTCAGTGTGCTAGTATATTGTTGAGAATTTTTGCATTTATATGCATAAGAGATACTGGTTTGTCTGATTTTGGTATTAAGGTAATACTGACCTCATAGAATGAACTGGAAAGTTCTTCCTCTTCTGCTTTGAAGAGTTTATGAAGAATCAGTATTTTTTTTTTAAGATTTTATTTCTTTATTTGTCAGAGAGAGAGAGAGAGCAAGGAGGGGGAGCAGTAGGCAGAGGGAAAAGCAGGCTCCCCGCTGAGCAGGGAGCCCCATGTAGGACTCAATCCCAGGACCCTGGCAGGATCATGACCTGAGCCGAAGGCAGACACTTAACCGACTGAGCCACTCAGGTGTCCCAATTACTATTTTTTCTTTAAGTATGTGGTAGAACTTAGCAATAAAGCCATCTGGGTCTTTGCTTTTCTTTATGGATGGTTTTGACTACTAATTTAATCTCTTCACTTGTTATAGGTCTGTTCAGATTTTGTGTTTCTTCTTGAATCAATTTTAGTAGAGTTTGTGTTTAAAACTACTCTAACTGTTGTTTTCATCAAAAGTATTTAATTTATTGGCAAAAATTGTCTTATTTTTAAATAATTTTTAAAAAATTTCCTGTAAAGTCACTAGTATGTTTCTTCTTTCATTTCTCATTTACATAGTTTGAATCCTTTTTCTTCATCAGTGTATTTAGAGGTTTATTAATCTTGTTGATCTTTTCAGTGAACCAGTTTTTTATTTCATTGATTTTTCTCTTTTGTTTTTCTAATCTTTGTTTCATTAATTTCCACTATATTCTTTACTGTTTCTTTCTTTCTGCTTGCTTTAGGTTTAGTTTGCTCTTCTTTTTCCAGTGTTTTAAGGTGAAAGGTTAGGTTGTTGATTTGAGATCTTTCTTTTTTTTAATCAGTATAGGTGTTGCAGAAAAAAATTCCCTCTAAGCACTCCCTGAATTACTTGAAGGGGTTCCTTGTCACAGGAACCACTAGTATTTTAGTTCTTGATTGTTTTTTATTCATAACTAACCAAAAAAGTCTTAACTATGCTTTTTTGATGCCAAAAGTTATACCTTAGAGCACTTAGTTATAACTTAGAGCACCTAGAGTTATACCTTAGAGAAAAAATTCCTAAGTTGATGTTGGCTAATCAGTTAGGTACTTGAAACAGTTTTAAAGTGTTATTTGAAAGTAGAACTTAATTATTTATTTTTATTATGTTCAATTAGCCAACACTGCATTATTGGTTTTTGATGTAGTGTTCAGCGATTCATTAGTTGTATGTAACACCCAGTGTGTGCCCTCCTTAATACCCATCACTCGGTTGGACTTAAAGCATGATGAAGCTAATGGCAACCTCCAGCTACTTAAATTAGTTCAATAGAAATTTAACGGGATCCAGGAGGTTGCCAGTATGCTTTAAGTCCAAGCTTTAATTATAATCATGATTTTCAAGGACTCTAATAGACAGGTCTGGTTATACTGCAACAAAATGATGAGAACTGAATGTTTAAATTGTACAAACATAGCTTAGAAGCCAGCTTTGAAGATGATTCTTATTATCTCTCTTCTCATACCTCTGTTCCACTGGATAAAAGGACTAACACTTTTTCCTCTTCATTTTTAAATAAAGTAAATGTTAAATTTAAAAATTAGTCTTGTGGAGACTCAACAATAAATGAAGAATTTTCAGGTATTGCTCAGGTGTTATTACTAGGTACCAAGACTGATTTAAATGTGTTCTAAAAATCAGTGTATTTCTCAGGGGAAGTAATAATAAATATGAATATCTGCTCTCAATGTATCAAAGCAGATTAGCATTATATATTTGTTTTTGTTAGGTGATTTGGTATATAATAGAAAATTTATTCAAGTGGACTTTGAAATAGCCATTAATATAAATGTGAATGTCAAAGAATGTTTCTAAGACATTATGTCATGATACATCTACTTGTTTTTCCATGTAAAATAACATTAGTGCAATATAAACAAGTAGAAATGTAAAACATTTGAATTGCTTTCCTTTATATTAAAATGGTTTAAAATGTAAAAAAAGAATGGCTTGAGAGAGCAAGGAGAGGTGACTGGCTTTGGCTTTTATATGGTTAGCGTGGGGCTGGGGTGAGGATTTTTGTACACAGGCCAGGGCTTGTGTACTTTGAACTTCCTGCCGGTGCTAAGGGAGCACTTGGGCTTTATTTCTTTGTCCAGATGTTGGCAAGAAGGAGAAGTACGAGTGGTGGGGCTTGAAAGCTGTCAGCAGTCAAACATCAAAAATGAAGTCAGACTCTTAATTACATAAAACCATAATACCTCCTGCTCTGCCCTCCAGTCGTTAACTGTCCTGGCAACCACTAAACTGTTGTCCATTTCTATACTTTTGCTATTTCAAGAATGTTGTATAAATAGAGTAATACACTGTGTTACCTTTTCAGGTTGGCTCTTTTCATTCATCGTCATTCTCTAGAGATGCATCCAAGTTGTTGAATATACTCATTCTTTTTATTGCAGGTAGTGTTCCATAGTATAGTAGTACCTCAGTTTATTCTTCCATTGCAGGACATCTGGGTGGTTTCCAGTTTGGGGCTATTATGAATACACTGCAGTGAACAATTGTGTACAAGTTTTTCTGTGGACATAAGTTTTCATTTTGGAGGTATATATGTCTGGGTGTACAACTGCTAGGTTGTATGGTAAGTTTTTAAGAAACTGCCAGACTGTTTCCCAGAGTGGCTATACAATTTACATTCCCACTAGTAATGGATGAGTGATCTGGTTTCTTTGTATCTTCAACAGCATTTGATGTTGTCACTGTTTTTTTTTTTTATTTTAGCTATTCTGATAGATATATAGTGATTATCTTATATAGTGATTTTAATTTGAATTTCTCCAATGGCTAATCATGTTAAACATTTTTTCTTGTCCTTATTTGTATTTATCTTCATGTCTTTTGCCCATTTTCTTATGGAAGGAATTATTTGCCTTTTTTACTGTTGAGTTTTGAGAATTCTTTATATAGTCAGATATTAGTCCTTTGTCAGGTATGTGCCTTGTAAATACTATCTTCCAGTCTGTAGTTTGTCTCTCATGCTCTCAACAAGGGTCTTCCTAGAGCAGAGTTTTACATTTTGATGAGGTCCAGTTTATCAATTTTCCCTTTTATGGATCATGCTTTTGGTGTCAATTCTAATAACTTTGCTTAGACTTAGATCATAAAGATTTTCTCCTATGCTTTTTTCTAAAAGTTGTATAGTTTTATGTTTTATATTTAAGTCTGGGATTCATTTTGAATTGATTTTTGTATAAGATGTAAGGTTTAAGTTGACTTTCATTACTTTGCCTATGAATGTCCAATTCCTCCATCAGTATTTGTTGAAAAGACTATCCTTCCTCCTTTGAATTGCTTTTTGCACCTTTATGAAGAATCAGGTGGGCATATCTGCAGAGTAGACTCCTATGCTGTGGTGTGGCCTGCAGCATAATCTCTTTCCCTAGGTGTGAAATAACATTCACTGAGAGCCCAAAATGTGCCCAGGTAGTTTATACTTAAACCCCACAACCACTCCCATTTTATAAAGTGAGGCCACAGAGATTTTAAGAGGTAAAGTGATGCCTCCATAGTCATACAGTTAATAAGTGGGGAGGTGGATTTGAACCCAGGTCAGTCTTAGTTCATGTTCTCTTCTCTGTACACTAAGCTCTGATGTCTCCTGAAAGTGGCTTAAACCTTTGGACAGCCTCCATTATGATGAATTACAAAAGGAAATAAGGAGTTTAGTAGAGAGCTGGATTTGTAGTGTCCAAATTATAGTTCTTAATGCATTGGTGGGGTCACAGTCATTTAAGGGATTCCTAATCAGCATTTGTTTTGTTTTTGAATTGCTTATTTGAGATATTTTAAAATATTATATTACAATATTAGTAAAGTCACATTCGATACTACAAATTAGTTGGATATATTTGTGTTGGTCTATTTCAGGTTTTTCTTTTCCACTGATTTATGTGTCTCTTCCTCCACTAGTACCACAGTTTCTCTCTTTTTTAAGTTTTTATTTAAATTCCAGTTTGTTAACATACAATGTCATATTAGTTTCAGGTGTACAATATAGTGATTCAACACTTCCATACATCACCCTGTGCTCATCACAAGTGCACTCCTTCATCCCCATCACCTAAATTGACCCATCCCCCACCCACCTCCCTTCTGGTAACCAGCAGTTTGTTCTCTATAGTTAAGGGTCTGTTTCTTGGTTTGGCCTCTCTCTCTCTTTCTCCCCCCCCCTTTTGCTCATTTGTTTTGTTTCTTAAATTCCACATATGCATGAAATCATATGGTATTTGTCTTTCTCTGGCTGACTTATTTCACTTAACGTAATACTCTCTAGCTCCAGCTATGTTGTTGCAAATGGCAAGATTTCGTTCTTTTTGATGGCTGAGAAATACTTCAGTGTATATGTATACCATATCTTCCTTATCTGTTCATACGCTCTGGCTTTTTCCATAATTTGGCTATTGTGGACAATGCTGCTATAAACATTGCGGTGCATGTATCCCTTTGAATTAGTATTCTTGTATTTGGATAAATACCTAGTAGTGCAATTGCTGGATCCACAGTCTTGATTATTATAGCTCTAAGTCTTGAAGTTAAATAGATGATGTCCTCATACTTTATTCTAATTTTTAAAAACTGTTCTGCCTATTGTAATTCCTTTGTTTTTCCACATAAATTTTAGGATAATCTTGTCTATATATACAAAAAACTTCGCTGAGATATTGACAGGAGTAGCATTAAACAGGTAGATCTTTTGGTGGAGAATTGACATCTTTACTATGTCACGTCTTCCAGTATATGATACGTTATGTCTGTCCATTTATTTAGATCTTTGCTTTCTTTCATCAGCCATTTGTAATTTTTAACATACAAGCCCTGTAAATGTTTTCCTGTATTCTGGGATATTTCTTAGTTTACCACCATATGTGACAATCTAGCCCTGGTCTGCTTAATATTGGCAGGCATGATCATGCAAATCTTCCTGTGTCCTCTTTTCATACATCCAAAGATGATCCTGGCTACCAGGATCTAACTGCACCATCATTCTCACATCCCTCCTGAACAATAATATTGGTTATTTTAGTCTCTTGCCAGTGACATCTGATGTCCCAGCAAATGGCATTGCCCACTGCGATGCTGAAAAACTACTCCTGAGGTCCCAGCAGCGACACGGCTAACATAGATTTGGTTCGCACTCTGCTGGGTAGACCCTGAGCAGGAGTGATGCCTCCAGGCAGGTGGTATGCTGTCCATCCAGCTCAGGCCCAGGCTTCAAGGGAACGAGGGCGTCTTCAGATGGTAAAGAAGGAAGAAGAGGATGAAGGCTACACTTCAGTGCAGGCTGACAGGCCACAGACACTCAACCGTTCTGGCCAGGAACTATTTCGCCAGCTCTTCAGGCAGCTTCGTTACCATGAATCTTCTGGGCCCCTAGAGACTTTGAGCAGGCTCCGGGAGCTCTGCCGCTGGTGGCTGAGGCCTGACATTCTCTCCAAGGCCCAGATCCTGGAGCTGCTGGTGCTGGAGCAGTTCCTGAGCATCCTGCCTGGGGAGCTCCGGACCTGGGTACAGCTGCATCACCCTGAGAGTGGTGGGGAGGCTGTGGCCCTGCTGGAAGAGCTGCAGAGGGACCTCAATGGGACACCATGGAGGGTGAGTGTGAGCAAGTGTGCAGTTCCCAGTAAACTCTGCCTGTGAGTCAGCCAGCTCGTCTAAAATGTGTGGGTTGGGCCTCTGAACCCTCAGCATTGAGGAAGGCAGGGAATGTCTTCCCTTCTCATTCCCACAGCACCTGAGCAGCTGAGAACTAGACCCTGAGCCAAGGACCTTTGAGCTGGCAGCCCTTCCCCCCTTGCCAGAGGACAGTCGGCTCCAGAAAGAGGGTCAGCAAGTATCTGTAGATAACAGTAATGAGCTTTTGGACACAGTGACTTACATTATGCGAGTCCATCTCCACATATTTAATTTGACTTGATACTGACCTGTAAAGTGGGAGTGATGTCTCTCTTGCTGTTGGGTCAGGACTCCTGACTTCTGAGTACATGGTAAGACCTATAAATGCACTCGCAGCATGTTCCTTCTTTCTTTTGAGGATTTGTTCTGTGCAGGGGTCAGGGGTAAGAAGAGTATTGAGGGTCAGCGCAGGGCCAAGAAATTGGAAGACTTTATTTCACAGACTCATTGTTCGAGCATTGTTCATGTTCTTTCAGAAACTCAGTTTATTGAAAAGAATATGCAGAACTGATCTAACAATGAGAATTTATTCAGTGTACATTTGAATGCTCACCATGTGCCCAGCCCCAGCCTTAGCACCGGGAAACAGCTGACTGCCCCAGTGCTGATGGTAGAGCAGCCAGTCAGTCAAAGTGAGCTCTGCCTGCCCCTTCTGCCCCACACAGGTGAGTTTCTCAATGCTTCTTATAGCTTTGGAGGTTCGTTTTTTGGGGTTTTCTTTTAAGAGCGTTTATCATTTTTGTAGGCTTCTTTAAAATTTTTTTCAGTAAAAATATGTATAATTCTACATATATGATTCATGCATAAATGAAAGTCACCTTTAAGATTTCTGGAACATATCTGACATATTCTTCTCCCAAATATAATATCAAATTAGGTCAATCAAGTAACACATCTGACTGAACATCTACCAGCAGTGAATGGTAATATATCAATGCAAGGTATGGCTATTAAAAAAGAAAACCTTTTTGCTTAACATTGGTTACTATTTTAAAAAATCTAAGAGCATTTATCATTTTTACCAAAACACCAAGATGTTTAAGAGGATCAAAAAATCATTGATTAAAGCAAAAAAGGTACATAGTAGGTACAAAATTGTGGCTTGGTTACATTTAACACATTTAGAGCTAGATGTAAGTTTGGAAATCCCTGGAAACATTGCCAAATGGGCATACAGGGCCTACCTGGTTGAAAGCTAGTTAGAAATTAGAAAACAGGGACGCCTGGGTGGCTCAGTCGGTTAAGCGTCTGCCTGGCTCAGGCCACGATCCCAGAGTCCTGGGATCGAGTCCCACATCGGGCTCCTTGCTCAACAGGAAGCCTACTTTTCCCTCTCCCTCTCCCTGCCACTCCCCCCTTCTTGTGCTCTCTCTCTGTCTCTCTGACAAATAATAAATTCTTTAAAAAAAATTAGAAAACAAAATGGGCTGGGAGAACACCTCCCAAATTCTGAAAAATGAACAGAATGGCTTAAGATGCACATAAAATTACATAATCACCCTGTGGTTAATCAGCATTGAGCAACTAGGTCCTGAGAGATTTTGTTCTTAAACTTATTGGGCTGTCTGCTTCCATCTTTGTATTGTTTCTTTATTCTCTTTTTGGTAGGGTTTGGGAGGAACAGGTTCATCATCTTTCAGTCTTTTAGCTCGGTATCACATGTTTCATGGCCTCAGGCTAAGATTCATCCAAATCAATGTGGTCAGTGTCTTGGCCACAGGACCAGAAAAAACTTAAAAGTTCATTGGCTATAAGCTTCCAATATTCATTTCCACATCAGGGATAGCCTTGCCTCAGAGACTGGAACCATTTGAAGTCCCAGGGCAAAGACTGCCTCTTTCTAGTCTCTGCTTGGATGGGCAGTGCCATTTTTTTGTACCTGAGACTCTCTTCTGTGGTTCCATGGCTGACCCTCACAAGTAGCATTGCCTCTCTGGCAGTGGTACCATCTCAGTCAGATTTACATGCGGAAGCTGTCCTGCTTCTTTGAGGTCACTATGCTTGGTAGTGCCTAGAGCAGTGCCTGATACTTGGTAGATGTTATCTGCATCTCTGCGGTGAACCATTATCATTTTAACTCAGGGACAAATTTCTCCTCTCTGATTTCTAAGTTCCAGACCAGGGTGGGGCCTGAGGGGCTAGTGGGGAGGTGTCCCTGCAGCGCCTGAAGCCTGAGAGCAGTGCCTTGCTGGGTGCTTTCCTATGTTGTAGCTGGAATCTGGCTCCACCTATCTCCTTCATGGCCCACACTAGAGCCCAGGGAGGCTGAGGGATGAGTGGGTCCTCCCTGGGCTTTCTCCTCTTCCTCTCCCCTCTGCCTGTAGGTAATGAAGGGCCTGGCTTGCCCTTCCCTGGATCCCTGCCCTTAAAGATTGTCCATATGGCCTCTTCTCTGAGTTTGCTTTCTGATTCCTATGGGGATCCTCTCACAACATTTTCTTCTTGCCAGGACCCAGCCCTTGCCCAGAGCCCAGATGTACGTTGGATGGGTACAGGAGCCCTGCGAGCCTCACAGATATGGCCCCCTGCTTCACCTCTCAGGAGCGGCTCTACTCTTGGGGACCACCTGGAGCCTCCCTGTGAAATAGGAGTGTGTGACCTCCTGGCTGGGCAATCCGGTACTCGCCATCTAGCTCTAAGCTGTATCCCACACATCCCAAAGTAGTGTTGTCATTTCACCATCTGTCCTCTCACGAGAATCCCTTTCAATCTTGGTGCTTAGCCCTGTGTCCTTTCTACCCTTCTGTAACCCATGTCTACCTAGCTCCTCCTCCCATTGCACCCCCCCACTCCCACTCCCCAGCCCTCAGCGGACACTGGGGAAATGTGAAATGGGTGTTTAACAATATTCCATACCTGCTTGTAGGCCCAGGAGTCCTCTATGTGGGGGAAGAGTGGGCCTCCTCAGTGGGGTGCCAAGAGCTGGGCTACCTTCTCTCATGGCTCTTTCTTCTCCTTCAGAGCCTCCTGTTGCCCAGGTGCCTGCCCTTTCCCAGAGAGAGGTGTGTCCAGGAGACCCATTGACATCCCAGCCTCGGGTGAGCCATAAGACCTTTGGTCCTTCATGACATCCCAGCATTGCTGCCTAATGGAGTCACTGAGGCTCCCACTCATCTTGAGTCTCTGTGTCCAGTGACCTCATATCCAGAGACCCAGGTCCTGGAGACCAGATTATCCTCCTTGAGCTCAGAGCTCTTCTACTGGGTGATGCTCTCTCTTTCACCCTTACCAGATCAATCCTGTGCTCACTCAGACTGGCTTGTCCCCTTCCCCTGCCCTCTCCTAAAAGCCAGGAGCTGTAGACTGACTCTCAGACATAGGACTGTGTTTTTCAGGAGGCTGTGACTTTCAAGGATGTGGAAGTGACATTCTCCCAGGATGAGTGGGGATGGCTGGACCCTGCTCAGAGGAACTTGTACAGAGATGTGATGCTGGAGAATTACGGGAACGTGGTTTCTCTAGGTAAGGCATTGATACCCCCATGCTTCTACCCACTTTTACTTCTGCCTTCTTACTCTTTATTATGGTGTCTAGACAGGGACCTGACCTGGGCTCTGACTCTGGCTCTATCACCTAATCCTCTTTCTTGAAATGTGGTGATAATGATGCCTATTTGCTGGATTATTACAATGATTAAAAGTCATACGTGTCAAGTTCCTAGTTAGACGTCCAAACGATGTTGGTTGATTTAACTGATTGAGTTGTCATGTAGCTCCCACCTCCAGAGAATCCTAGTGATCCTTTTGGCTGTGACTTTTTTCAGCCTCTTTAGTCTCTGCTCAGAGCTGTTGGAAATGGCTGTCTGGGCCTCCTGTCCTGGCTTCCTCCACCAGCCTTCCTGGCCTTTCCCTTGTCCTTGCCAGGACCTCAGGCCTGAGAGGGTCCTGGAGAATAGTTCTGTATGATTTATCCACCCTTCCATTTCATCCCATCCCCTTCTCTTCTGCAGTGGGACCATTCACCAAACCTGTTCTGATTTCCTGGTTGGAAGCAAGGGAGCCATGGGGCCTGAATGTCCAGGGAGCTCAGCCTAAGGGGAAGCCAGGTGTTGCCCCTGCAGGTGAGTTTCAGAAAACCTCTGGATCTTACTCCTCTCACATCTATTCTTCTCTTTCTTAAGGTCTTTTACACCAAGTAAGTCACAGGGAACATACTTTGTTGTTTGCTAGAAGGAAAATCCTTAACAGTGTTGCTAAGGAGTGCTGGGCTTCTCCGTTTCTCCTCTCCAGACTGGCCTATTAGACATTTGTTTCTGGCCCTACCCCTTCCCCAGGAACCTTTTCAGTAACTGTTCTTGCCCACTGGAGGGCTTCACTGTTGCACTCTTTTCCATTCAGTGATGCTTTTCCTCATCCTTCTGCTGTACTCCTACTGATCCCTGGCCCATGCCCACCCCTTCATGCTCTTTGAAGAACCCTAATCCCACTCCTGCTCCTCTTCTTTGCCCCTAAGATAGGTTTGACTTCCATTTCCTTCAGCTATCCCTCCATGGAGCCCCTCTCCTGGGCTCTTGGGAGCCTTCTTATCCTCTTACCATGATTTCTGTCCCCTATCTTACTGTTTAACATTCACTTTTTAACTGGATGTGATTTCTGCATATGTTTAGCTGCTGTGCCCACCTTACTTCTCCTCCTCCATTCCCTGTCATCTGGGGGACACTCTTCCATGTCTTGCCTTCCCGGACTATTTGGTAAAGGTATTGGCAGTCAAGCACAAGCTTCACCACCCAAGATCTTGGCTTTTTTTTTTTTTTTTTTTTTTTCTGTCCTTTGGTGCCTTCTGCAGTTCCAAGTATGGAATAGAGTACATTGTCTTGTGTTTTATTTTGTGTCAGGAGGTGAGCTCCAGATTAAAACAAACAAGTTCGTCTTAAAACATGAACCTTTGGAAGAAGCAGAAACCTTAGCTGTGCCATCAGAATGTTGGATGATGAGTGTTTCTGAGGGAATGGGGCTCAGAGAATCTTTTGAACAGAAGAGCAGGCTAAAGGAACAATGTAGAAGTCCCATACAAGTAAGAGTTAAGAAAGAAGAGACCAATTTCAGTCATAGGACAGAAAAAGAATCTGAAGAATCAGGAAGAAGTACTAGTCGTAATTTAAAACATGCCACATATTTGAGAGTTCCCAGAAGAAAGCGATCCCTTAAACATGGCTGTAGCAGACACTTCCGAGGGAGTTCATACCACTATGACTACAAGGAATATGGGAAAGGGCTCAGGCGCATAGTTGGCGGATTTAGCCTACATCAGAGAATTCATGCTGGACTAAAAGCAAATGCGAAGGATGCACGTGGGAAAGACTTCAGCCTTAGCTCACATCACCAACATGGGCAGAATCTTCACATGGTGGGGACGTCATATAAGTGCAGTGACTGTGGGAGGACCTTCAGTCATAGCTCTCATCTTGCATGTCATCAGAGACTTCACACTCAAGAGAAACCATTTAAATGCAGGGTGTGTGGGAAAGCCTTCAGGTGGAGCTCAAACTGTGTGCGACACGAAAAGATTCACACAGGAGTGAAACCTTATAAGTGTAGTTTATGTGACAAGGCTTTCCGACGTATGTCTGCCTACCGTCTACACCAGGAAACCCATGCTAAGCAGAAATTTCTTGAGTCTAATCAGTATGAGGAAGCTCTCACCTATGGCTCAGGATTTGATCATCATTTGAGAGACCAAAGTGGGGAGAAACCCTTTGACTGCAGCCAGTGTAGGAAATCCTTCCACTGTAAATCATATGTTGTTGAACATCAGAGGGTCCACACTCAGGAGAAACCTTATAAATGTACCAAATGTAGGAAAACCTTTAGGTGGAGGTCAAACTTTACTCGTCATATGAGAATGCACCAGGAAGAAAAGTTCTATGATCAAGACACATGTAGAGAAGACTTCAGACAGACCTCCAGCTGCAGTCAGCCCCAGAATGCCCTGGCTACAGAGAAAGCTTTTCCTTGTCAGCAGTGTGGGAAAACTTTTACTCGAAAGAAATCCCTCATTGATCATCAGAGAATTCACACGGGTGAGAAGCCATACAGATGTAGTGAATGCAAAAAAGAGTTTACCCATCGGTCAGCCTTTATTGCTCATAAGAAGCAGCATGCCATTCAGAGAAAACCTGAGGATGGGCCATCGTTTAGTCAGGAAAGAGTTCTACAAGTTCCTCAGAGCAGTCATACCACAGAGGAAGCCTACAAATGTAGCCAGTGTGGCAAAGCCTTCCGTAATCACTCATTCCTCCTCATCCATCAGAGAATTCATACCAGAGAGAAGCCTTATAAGTGCAGAGAATGTGGGAAAGCTTTCAGATGGAGTTCTAACCTCTCCCGTCATCAGAGGATTCACTCTTTAGAAAAACAGTATGAGTACCGTGAAAGTGGAAACACGCCAAATCTGCAGCCACAAATCCTCACTGGTGAGAAACCTTTTTGGTGCCAAGAATGTGGGAAAACTTTTACACGTAAAAGAAGTCTTTTAGATCATAAGGGAATACACAGTGGAGAGAAGCGCTATAAGTGTAATCTGTGTGGGAAATCTTATGATAGAAAACATCGCCTTGTTAATCATCAGAGAATCCACACTAAAGAGAGACCTTTTAAATGTCAATGGTGTGGGAAAGATTTCATTGGAAGACATACCCTCTGCATTCATCAGAGAAAACACACCAGAGTGGCACAGTCTGAATGCAGCCTGGCTGGGTTGTCTTCCTGCCAGGACACAGGGGTGAGTTTACAGGAATTAAAACCAAGTGGGGAGAAGCCCCTTGAAGATTCTGAGGAAGCTTGTGACCAGAGCTCCAGGATCACTGGACTCCAGAACATACCCATTGGGAAAAAGTGCCACAAGTGTAGCACTTGTGGGAAAACTTTTAACAAAAGCTCACAGCTCATTAGCCACAAGAGATTTCATACTCGAGAGAGGCCCTTCAAATGCAGAGAGTGTGGGAAGACCTTCAGGTGGTCTTCAAATTTGGCTCGGCATATGAAAAACCATACTAGAGATTAGCTTGGAGTCTGACAGTGGGGGGAGAGGGGTTCCTAGCAGCCCTGCAAGAGAACCCTTAATTATAGGCAGTATGGGGGAAAGCTTCACAAAGGGTCTAGCCCTTTCTGTTTTCAAATCTGGTGGCAGAGAATCCTGAGGATTCAAAAACTCAGGGCATCCCCTTTCTTACCTGCTGGGGAGTGTGATGCTGGGGAAGAACAGCAACCTGTTCTTTGGGGCCCTTCTGGAGGCTTGGGCCCCTGAAGTGGCCTTTGCACGGTGGCCTGGAGCCCCCAGCCAGATAATAAGTCGAAAAGCAGATACTATTGCCCTTTGTAGTTTGACAAAATGTCTGTGATGTAATGGGCTGTGGCTGCTGGAAAAGGGCCAGTTGAATCCTGTGGTAGTGCATATTCTGTTTGACCTTATAAGCAGCAGCAATAGCAAGAACTTCTAGTCTCCCCTAGATGCCTCCTGGGAGTTCTGGCTGCAGCTTTGGCCTTCATATCTCGCTTGGACATCTGCCGTGGGCATACAGTTGTCTCAGCAACACATGGAGGAGAGCAGAGTTGGACTCAGTCACCTGAAGAATGGGGCTCTTCCAGTGCCCTGTCGCTGTCTCCACCCCACAGTCTGCATGGGCAACAGCAGGCCGTCTGTTCAACAGAAATGTGCTGAGCACCTCCCATATGCCAGACACTGTTGTGTGTGCTAGAGACCCAGCAGTGACCAGAACAGACAAAAGATCTGCCATCTTGGATATTTACAGACAATAAACAAATGAGTTATATAGTACTTCAGATGGTGATATGTGTTGTGGACAGAATGAATCAGAGAAAAGTGAGAAGCAGTGCTGGATTAGGAGGTGGGTTGTGATTTTAAGTAGGCTGGTAGGGAGGACTTCAACTGAGAAGGTGAAACTTGAGCAAAGACCTGAAGGAGGTTAGGGCATGGACCCTGTGGGTCTCTAGATCCAGGCACAGGAGGTAGAATCTTGTCTGCTGTCCTTGGAGAATGGCAGGGAAGTCCCTGGGCTAGAGTGGAGTGAGCCAGCAGAAGAGAGGGCCCCAGAGGTAGTGGGCCACGCCATGTATCATGGGTCCCCACTGGGGCTAGAGCTTCCTCAAAGGGAGGTAGGGAGCTTTGGGACAGTTTTAATTTGAGGAGTGACGTGGTCTGAATCTGAGTTACATTTACAAGGTTAACCACAGATCTAGGGACTCTGAAATTATATAGCTGAAAGATTTTTATGCAGTTATCTCTGCTGTCAGTTTCCAATAATGGGACTCTCTCCTCTCCCCTCAAAGGGCCTGAATTTTTTATCAGACCTCCAGCTCTCAACAGTTGAAAATGTTTAATTATTGTGCTTGCTTGCATCTCTAACTTGTGGACACTATGGGGACCCTTTAACCTTTCGTGTAGCTTTCTTCGCATGTTGGATCTGGTGCTGGCATCGGGTTCAACCCAAAGGTACCAGTTCCCATGACTGATGCCCTCTGGAGAAAAGGTGGCCTGGTGGGGGAGGCACCTCCATCTCACTTGCTAGCTTGACTTGAAACAAAAAGAAAGAATTAGCTCAGTGGCATAAGGAGTGACTTTTCTAAAATTTGTGCAAGTAGTCATTGCTTCTGGTTATTGAAGAGCTCACATTATGAATATAAGAATAAAATATCTCACTTGATAGTAGAGGACCATCTCAGACTACATTTTAATGCTTTGAGTCAGGGCACACTGGTGGGGCAGACCATTTCTTGTAATACAAGAGAAGAAACCAACCTGGAAAATGTCCTCTCAGTAGAGTACAAGTAATCTTATCCTTTCTGAATTGTTGTGGGCAAGTGAAAATGAAGACTTTGATACTTTGTGATGATGTCATATGGAATAGTCAGAGGGTGGGGAGAAGGGGCAGACATATGTTCGTGTTCTGGTCCCCATTCAGCTTTGTACTCAGGAGGGTTTGGTAATCCTGGCTCTGCATCCTTTTCCTACAGCAGCAGCTGCGCATGGCATGGAATCAGGTGTCCCATCAGTGGTATAGTACCAAAAACTGTTTCTAGTAGTGGCTGGGCAGGCATCAGAGTCCCATGTGCTGAGGCCCCAGGGTCATGGGGCGGGCCTTGGAGTTACCAGATCTGGGTTCCAGGCTCAGTGTGCCTTTTCTTGGCAGGATGATCTTGGACAAGTCGCTGAACACCTGCATCTATTTTCTGGCATGTAAAGTTAGAGTAATTAAGCTCCCTGATTTCTAGGATTGAGAAAGAAGGCTTGGTGTGCAAAGGCTCTGGGTTAGGTAGCTGATCTCTAGGACCAGAGCCCTCACAGAGCTGCAGCTCCACGTCAGCTCCGGCTTCAAATCTGGTGCTACAACTGAGGAAATACCTCTTTTCTGTCCATATTTTCACATCCTCCCCACCCCCCAACTCCTTGTGCCACTGTCACCTCACAGAGTTCCTGCCCCAATAGGGGTTTTCTATTGCCATTTTTATAAAGTGAGATATACTTATTTTTAAACACTCAAACCAAATTTTCAAGTGTACAAAGAAGTGAAAATCAACAGAAATTCCTCTATACTGAGGTAAGCCTTTAATATTTTGGGATTGTACTGATGGGGTCTGTTCAATAACCTGAATTTTTAAATAATTTTAATTATATGAGTAATACATGATTATTATAGAAATATTAGTAAATACAGCTTAGCTAAAAGGAGAAGTCTCACTACTTGCAGCCAACTACTAAACATTTTGGTGCAATCATTGTACCAATCATTGTTGGATTTAACTTCACTGCCTGCCCCTGAACACCCCTGGACTGGCCTGACTTGTGCTGTCCCCCTTCACCAGGAGTGTAGACCATATCTGTGCTGGCTCAGGTCCTCATCCATCAAGGTTAACCCTTGCCATCCCTAACCCTTGTCTGTCTAAGACCTCTCCCCTGGCCCCGCCTCTCTTGGTGCCTGTATCTTACTCTGCTAGGTGGTGTCCAGGTTTCCAAGAATTAGGCCTGCTACTGCAGCAGACAGGGCACTCTGGAGGCCGGGTTGGGTGCTTATTTATCTGTTTGCCATACAGAGATTTTGTACAAAATTACCTCTATTAAGGAATATGGAACTGAACTTAGTTCAGCTAAGTTAGGATTGGAGTGTTTTGAAGGGGTCCTGAGTACAGTGTTGACTGGAGGTTACCCACAAGCGCCACTAGTTAGCACCAGCTGTAGGTGGTTCCAAGCCATGCAGCTCCAGCTGAAAATTTCTGACTGCCTCAGCCACTAGTTCTCCTGTCGTACCCCATTCTGGCCTGGAGAATATGTAGGCTTCTTTGAACCCTGCCTTGCTTTCTTTTGCTGCCTAGGAAGAACCGAAGTTGGGGCTGAGGAGAGCCAGAGGGCTGGGACTCTCAGAGAGGGGTAGGTATTGGAAAGTCTTTGAATCAGTTGTTCAGGTGGTTGACCCCTGCCTTGCTGATAGACCGTCAGCCCACACAGAGACATGTATGGAGAAGAAAGCACAGGAAATATAGGTTAGTATGGACTTCTCACACTCCTCAAGATGACAAGTTTTACAAGCCCTAGCATGGGTACATGTGTAGAACAGTGGGAACTCACTGCTGTGGGAGTGGAAATTTTGTAGTACCTATGCCAGGCAGTCTGCAAAATCTTGTGTGTGCATACCACCAGCAGTTCTGCTCCTGCATAAACCCTAGAAGAACTTCACGTAGGGAGGAACATTTGTATAAAACTATTCATTGCTGTACTGTTCATTGCAGTATTGTGTAGGTAGCAAGACTGGGAAAGGCCCAAATGTCCATCAACAGGAAAAAAAAAAAAGGGTTGTTTTTGGTACTTTGGGAAGTGAATATGAAAGAGCTAGAGTTTCATCTTTCAACATAGATAAATCAGAAATGCTGAGAAAGTTGTAGAAGTTATGTACAATATACCATTTATGTAAAATTAAACATTGTTTATCTGTGGGCACATTATTTAAACTTAATTTGTGTTTCACTTTTTTAATGAAATGGAATAGTAGTTGCCAACCTCACAAGATAATTGGGGGTGGGGGAATGGTTAATGAAATAATGCATGTAATAAAGTGTTTTGATTAGTGGCTGGCATGCAACATCGTTGGCATATAGTAAACAATGTTGTTACTGTTTTGCACAATAATATATTCCTGTGGATTCAAATTATATGATGAAGAGTATAAAATCATTTATTGGAATGTTGTGTGAAAGTTGTGTTCTGCCTTTTCATGGCAGAGCTGCTGATGGAATGGGGGGGTAGATGGAAGCTGCAGTTGTGTTTTATTTCATTTTAAAAATTGATGTAGATGGGTCGCATGTTGCTTAATGGGATAAATTTTTTTTTTTTTTTTTTTTTACTGTTTGCTTAAAATACTTAAAAATAAAATTTTTTAAGCATGGGCTTTGGCATCTTACAATTTTATAGAAATCCTGGTTCTGCCATTTATATAATGTTACTTAGAGTGAGCCATTTAATCTTTCAAGGCTTTAGTTTCTTCGCCTACAAAAATGAGTAGCAACACAAATGGCTATTAGTAAAAGAATGGTTGAACAGTTCTGGTGCATCTTTGATGAAATACCATGCATCCTCTTAAAAAGATCGAGGATATTCTCTGTGTATTGTATTGATGTCCAAGACATAGAGTTTATAGGAAATTATGAGCTCTATTTTCTTTAACCTTTTTGCCTAAAAATAGCAAGTGAAGCCAGAAGCTCTAGACTCAAAAGTTTAAGAAACGGGAAAAAAAAGTTTAAGAAATGGGATCCTGTGGATGATGTTTAGTCAGCCATTCCATTTTATTAGGTAAGTGAAGGAAGATGAGTAAATGTTTTTATGCACAACTGGCACACCTATTAAGCTAATGCTAACCCTGTAGAAGAGCAAAGAGGACTTGTATTACCCAGGTTATAGTCAGGAGCCAGAAACCATACCAATTATTTTAAGAAAAAGAACTTAGAATTGTTTAATAGGTATATCTAAGTAACTAAAAAGGCAAAAGAAAGTGCTAATTTATCATGGAGGCAGTGACTTGAGACCTGGTGCCATCCCAAGACTGGGGGAACTGTAACGGAGTCTGACCCCATTTTTGATGTTTGACCACTGACAGCTTTTAAGCCCTCCCCCTCCCCCTTTTGCCTCACATCTGGGCAAGCTGATAAGAAAGCCCAGGTACTCCCTCAGCACCTGAGGTGAAATTTATGCAAACCCTGGCTTTTTCCATTACCCTGGAAACCCACACCTGTAACTACAATAAAAATCAGAGCTATTTGCCCCTCCTTGCAGTCAGTGCAAACTGACTAGCTTGGGTGCCTGTCTTACTCTTCCCAGAGAGCCACATTATGTGAATAATAAAATTTTTCATGACCTCTTGATGTGTGTGCTATCATCTGTCTTGACATCTGAATTAGTTTGGGGTGGTGGTACAGTACTGATCCCACCTCCCCAGAGCAAGCTACAAAGCAGGAACAAAAGAATTGTTAAAATGTAGGACATTGGAAGAGAGCACCTGTAGAGCTGAACTCAGACCTACATGGAGGAGAGCACTGCTGAGAGCACTGTTGGTCTGAATCGGAAGGAGGGCCCTATGGTGACAGAACTACAAGTTGGACCCAGTTGCTGCTACCAAAGGGAATTGCCACTGCTGGAGTGAAAAAGCATTACGAACAGGAAGCAGTGCCCACATACACAGAAAACCCCTCTTCCTCCTTGTATTAGGGTTCTCCAGAGGAACAGAACCAATAGGATGTGTGTATACACATAGAAAGAGATATATGGAATTGTGTTTTATGATTCCAGAGGCTGGCAAGTCAAAAATCTGCAGGATGGACCACAGACTGGAGACCCAGGAGAGCTTATATTCCTGTTCTGGGCTGAAGGCTGATTGTTGTAGAACCAAGAAGAGCCAATGTTGCAGATGAAGTCCAAAGGCAGCTGGAGAATTCTTTCTTGCCAGGGGGAGGCCAGTCTTTTTGTTCTATGTAGGCCTTCAACTGATTTGATGAGGCCCACCCACATAATGGAGAGTATTTTTACTCAAAGCCCATTAATTTACATGTTAATTTTATCCAAAAACACCCTCACAGAAACACTCAATATTTGACCAAGTATCTGGGCACCCTGTCACCCAGCCAAGTTGACGCACACTAGTCACAATTCTTCAACACTGCAGCTTCCCTCTTAACATTTCTTGATGTCAGAACCTAATAGCGAAATAGCTGGCGAAATAGAGATGTGGTTCGCAGAGTTCCAACCCCATCATCTAAAAGCATCTATAGAAGAGTGGGTTTGAAGCAGAGACAATAAACTAATAACTGGCACAGCTTTCCTAAATTATCTTAAAAATTCCTAGGATGTTTGACTTAAGAGATTTGAGACCAAGAATATTTGTTAAAGAAATTATGTGTAGGAGCACCTGGCTGGCTCAGTTGGAAGAGCATGCCACCCTTGACCTCAAGGTCGTAAGCTCGAGCCTCACAATGGTTGTAGAGATTACTTAAAAAGATATGTATGCTATGTTATGGACAGCTGCTCACTTAAAGATATAAATTATGTCATAACCAGTTGATTTTACCTGTGGACCTTGTAATAATTAGGTGTTTGGCCCTAGTCATCTTATTATATTGAACTGAAAGTTGAAAGCCCCAAGAATGTGTTTAAAGGTATTTCTGCTTAAAAACATTATTTTACAACAAAAATGAATACATTTAATAAGTATGTTTAATTTAACAAAGTAAATTTATGATTTTAACAGATTAAAACAGCACAGACATCTGATTTGCCTCCAGTGGAACAGTGACTTAGATGATAAAACCCCAACAGAGCATAGACAAGAGCAGAGAGTAGACTCCTATAGCCCCGAATTCTAAATGAATCAATTAAAAAGGCAAGGTTGCCTTCATTTATATCCCATAGTTGGGCCATTTCTCTTTGTTGCCCAGCTGATATGTGGGCACATTAGTTCAAGTCTCTTGCTATGAAATCTATTTAAGCTAGGTAAGGCAAGGAGAATGTATGCATCTGCTGATTAAGTTTCATAGGATGTTAAAGTGGTTTCAACAATGGTTATTACCAGTGTGGATCTAAGAATCTGAAAAATAATATTGGATAGAAGTCGAGAAAATTGGTCTAAGTATGTATGTTTTCCCCTTGTGACTTCAGGTTTGAATGAGAACAGAAAAACTGCCCTTGGACACGTCATTGAGGTTTACTTAAAATGGTCATGGAAGATTCTTCCTTGGTGAGAAGTCTAAAGAGTCCTTATATACTTAAACCAATACTAAATATTGAAGTCAGCAACCCAGGAGAAGTGTACTTGTAGATTCATGCAAACATTTCACATACTAGTTATACTCATGAATCTTATTCATATGGAAACAATATAAAGTTTTTGGGAAAATCCACAAATTTTTCTTCCTTTTGGTCTATTTACAATTAAAACAATTACTCTATAGACATACAAGTTTTTAATCAGATACTCAGCTGAGAAGTTCATTCTACCAAGGTACATTCTAATGTGAACATAAGCAGAAACTTTTACATGTTAAAAAAGAAACATGTTTTTTACATGTTAACAAAGAGATACATGTTAAAAAGAAATTTGCACATAAGAAGGAAGTCTGGTTGGAGTCCTGGGAGCAAGCATGGTGACTGCATTGTCACTGGGAGGAGCTATGTTAGGTAAGACTACTGTAATTCTAATTGTATGAGGTGAGTTGTAGAAGAATGTACCAACTGATAAACTGTGGTCACTGGTACTGGAGTAATCCAATGTCTAATACGAATTGTTGTTTTCCTGTCCTCAAGTGTCTCATTCACACAACATGAGGCTTCAACCCTGGGATGACTTTCTACCTGTCATTGGTTGCATTAGTTGGGCTGGTAATCTTTTAAAACTTATACTTTTTAAAAAATTTTTATTTTAATTCAATTTAACATATACTGTATTATTAGTTTCAGGGGTAGAATTTAGTGATTTATCAGTTGCATACAACACTTATTGCTCATTACTTCAGTGCCCTCCTTAATGCCCATCACCCAATTATCCCATCCCCCCACCCACCTCTCCTCCAGCAACCCTCAGTTTGTTTCCTATAGTTAAGAGTCTTATGGTTTGCCTCTCTGTTTTTGTCTTATTTTTCCTTCCCTTCCCCTATGTTCATGTATTTTGTTTCTTAAATTCCACATATGAGGGGCGCCTGGGTGGCTCAGTCGTTAAGCGTCTGCCTTTGGCTCAGGTCATGATCCCAGAGTCCTGGGATCGAGCCCTGTATCGGGCTTCCTGCTCCGCGGGAAGCCTGCTTCTTCTTCTCCCACTCCCCCTGCTTGTGTTCCCTCTCTCACTGTGTCTCTCTCTGTCAAATAAATAAAATCTTAAAAAAAAAAAAAAATGAAAGTCCTTTGCCCTATTTAAAAAAAAAAATCCACATATGAGTGAAATCATATAATATTTGTCTTTCTCTGATTGACTTATTTCACTTAGCATAATATTCTGTAGTTCCATCCACATTGTTGCAAGTGGCAAGAGTCCATTCTTTTTGGTGGCTAAGTATACACACACATCACATTTTCTTTATCCATTCATCTGTCCATGGTCATCTGGGCTCTTTACATATTTTGGCTATTGTGGACATTGCTGTTATTAAACATTGAGGTGCAGGAGCCCCTTTGAGTCACTATGTTTGTATCTTTTGGATAAATACCTAGTAGTGCAATTGCTGGGCAGGAGGGTAGTTCTATTTTTAACTTAAAGCTTATTTTAAATATAAAAATAACCCATATGTTCTGAACTCAGATTGGCTGAACCTGGCAGGAGACATAACTTGATCCATATTCTCACGCATTGAAAAAATCAGTAATTGAAACTGCTTTCTCAGGTGGTGGTCTGAGTCAAGCTGAGAATAGCTTGTGGTGAGGAGGCATCCACAAACGTGGCACCTCTCTGTTTTTTAGCAGAGTTGGGAAAATCATGAAAACTATCAGTGAGGGAGGAGGGAAGATATCAGAAGAGTTAGGGGACCTTCGTTTCGTCTGGTCCCTTGAATTCAGCTAGGTATCAAATCATTCTGAACACCTGTGAATTCAACCTGGGATCTAAGAAAAGAACTGCTGCAATTCAACAAATAGAAAATTGACCACTTTGTGCAAGGTAGGAGGTGTGGAGAAGTGAATCTGAGGGGATATATCAGAAGATAAACCGTGAGAGCAGGGAGCCTCCATAAGCCAGCTACCAGAAAGTGATATAGCAGCGGAGTTCAAAATCAGAACTTTTAGAAGTCTGCTCCTCTGAGGGACATTCCTGCCTGAAAATTGCTCAGGTGGTGAAGTGGGGCAGAATCTTTGGTGGGACTGTGTGGTCTCAGGATCTCCAGGGTCGCAGAAAGAACAGGGGTGCCTGAGTGCAGCAGAGTTCCCAAGCTTTGGAGCAGGGAAGCTGGCTACAATTAGCGAGCCCTGGAGTGGCCTCTCAGATAGGTGTTGCCATAAACTTCGAACTGCATGGTGATCTGGTGACCACTTTCCAAGCAGGGGCCCAGCCCAGGAAGCAGCAAAACCCCTGTGAGACTGCTCCTTCCCCCAGGGGAGCGGTGCAGGTGCGAGCACCATGCATGCATGCAAGCACCATAAGGCATCCGCTCTCAGAGTAGGGGCCCAGAAAGGCCACAGTGAGACTCCCTTCCCTCCTCTGGGAGGATTGGGGTGGGTGTGCACCGCAGGAGTCTTTGGAGTTTGGCACACATGAAAGGGATTGACTACATTTAACTGAGGGTGCACTGAAGAATGGGGACTGAGAGCATTAAGCTCCAGGGCTGGAGATTGGGGCGCCGCCATTTTTAATTTTTTTCATCCTCAAAAGTGGCACAAAGCCACATAGAGCAACCCAAATCAGCTTACACTGAGTCCGACCCCCTGGCAAGGGCTGGTGCAACTCTGCCCAGGTAAAGACACTTGAGAATCAGTGCAAAAGCCCCCTCCCAAAAAAGACCAGCAGGAACATCAGGCTAATGCCAAGTTTATGGATCACACAGAACTGAAAAACTCCTGTGCTAAGGGAAAATAGTATATAGAATTTGAGTTTTTCCTCATGATTCTGTAGTCTTTTAAATTTGTCTTTTTTTCCTTTTCAACTAGTTTCTTATTTTATCAAATTTTTAAAAGTCTTTAAAATGGTCATTGTTACATTTTATAGATTTATTCATTTTTGGCTTCCTTTCACTGTATTCAATTTTATTTTTGTATATATATAACTTTTTCATTCTTTACAAATTTGGGATCTAGTGTCTTCTAACAAACCAAAAGACACCCAGGACCAAGTGTATTACACTGTTCTGCCCACCTGTTTGATTGTATCCTCTCTTTCTTCCCTTTCTT